TTACCAAAGATCCTGGAAAACCAGTAAATTTTTTTGTTATTTTTTCGGCTTTTTTTTGGTTTTTTTCAGCTTTTCGGGGTTTTTTTTGGCTAGATTTTTTCGGCTATTTTTTTTCTGGCTGTTTATTTCCATCCTGATGAAGTCTTCATCGAAACCTAATGCGGGCAGCCAATGAGTACATGATAAGGTTAGAAATGTTTCTTGAGGATGAAGGGCTTGCATAAAAAAACCCATTCTCAAAAATTTTTCTTCTGCAAAAAAGCAAGCCTTTCCTAGTGCAAAAGCGCAAAAACTTCACGGATGAGAGGTTAAAATCCTGATTTTTTTCCAAAAAAAAAACAGATATCAGCGAATTAACAACCAAAAAAAAATTGAACAAAATCGCCTGTCAACGAAAAACGAAACAGGCGATAAACAACAACAGACAGAAAGAGCCTATTAACAACTGTTGTTGCTGCTGTAAGTGAATGAAGTGCAAAAAAAAAGTGAAATAACAAAAACTTAACGAATCCTAGAATCCTGGTAACATGGATTTGCTGTTCATCAGCAAGGCCTCGGCCTAAAGGATAATTTCATGGGCAAAAATTTTGTACATCGGCGGTATATCCGGTATTTTTGGCAATTTTTTAACATTTTTTGGTATGTAATGCACGGCTGTATCATTGAATGCTGCGAAATTTGATGGCAGTGAAGGGAAATCTATCCAGCTGCACATGCTGCTGTAAACGTAGAGCGCATGCAGTTCATCCAGAATGGCTTTTCTGGTTTGATTTGAACAGCACGGTCCATCGTCCATGAGGAGTTCATACTGTCTAAGACGGATATTTTCCAGTGCATGATTAAGCATGGCACGTAAATTATTGCCTGCAAAAAAAAAAACTTAGCAAGAAAATTAATACGGCAAAAAAAAAAGAAATAAAACTTAAACGATCAACTCATTTCGGGAAAAACTTCGCCAAAATCTCCAAAATCCCTAAAATCTGCAAAAAATTTCGCCAAAGTCCCCTCATCTCCCCCTTTCCTCCCCCACCCTCAAACATTCAGCGAATTTAAAGTAAATTTTCCGCGCAGCACACCAACATCTTAAAAACTCAGTGGTTTCAAAGTG